CTATTGTTATTATTATTATTATTTTAAAAAATAATAAATTTTAAAACAAGATAGGTGCTTGTACTTAAAAATAATAAATATTAATAACATACTTTTTCAAACACAGCTGAAATTAATTATAAATTACAAAAAAAGCATGCATTTCATTTTTCAAATTTGATGAGTCACACTTTTTTTGTAATTTTTTTTTATAAATTTAAGTCATAATTAATAATATACTAAAAATAAAAGTGTTTAAAATCAAATCAAATTGTTTTCAAAATGCTAAATCAATCAAAAAAATTTAACACTTTTATTGTTGACTATTAGTAATGAATATTTCCAATATATCAACAACTATTTTGAAAGTTTTTTTTACTATTAATAATGAAATTAAAAAATAAATATAAAAAATAATTTAAAAAATATGTATGTATTTAATTATTAATAAATTATATACAGTTTAAATATTTACAGATATGTAATTTAATAGTAACAATTTATTTATATTTTAAATAAAATGTTATTCATTAAAATATACTAGGTTAATGAAGCATTGGTTAGTGTTTAAATTGTGTTAAAATTTATAAAGTCAAACAAAAACTTTAAAGTGAATGTTTGACTTAATAAAATATATTTTAATAAAAAGTAATTAACGTATTTTATTAAATTACACTTTTAATATTTAAAAAAAGTAAATTTATTCGTAATAATGAATACAAATTGTACCCAAATCAAACAACATCAATAAAATTATTCAACTTAACCTCATATAACTCACGAACAAATCTTTCGAATTGCAGACAGAAAAATGAACTCTTAACAAGACAACCAGGTGGTACCCTTTTATCAACTCAACTCCTTATTCAAACAAATTGAACCTTAACATCATAAAAATCTCCTAGAACAATGACACTAATACATCAAAATAACATAATACCAAAACAAGCATTGTTATCCAGCAACTCCTTCGCATATTGCTCTTCTGATAGACTGGAAAAATGGCAATCCTGCAGCTTAGCATACCAACAAGAAGAAGGAAAATAGAATGCTTGATCTCTAGCCTTAGCCTTTAGCCATGCCCAAGACATAAACTTTATCAAGTCCAAATTTTTTCTACAAATGATCATACCATCTTAAAGACAATATGATTTCTGACGAGCCAAATACTCCATAATGTTGCAAGCTATACCAAAATCCATTTATTTCCTGCTTGCGTTTTGCTAGTGGCTAACCCAAAATTACTTGAAATTATCACCCACGATCAAAATGTCTTATGCTGAAATTATAATTTTTTTTTCTAAGAAAGGAAACAAATTTTTAATAATCAGAAAAGTCATATAATGTAAGTCAAATAATCAATTCGTAGTAATATTGATGTCAGGATGCCCACATAAGCAAGCCTTAGCGTTTGGCGTCATCACATTCTCGGTTTTGTTGCGTCAGTGCCACATATCTTGCGAAGTCATGTATCACATTGTTATATATTGTTTAATAAATATTTAAAGGTATATAATAAAAATTATATATCATAAATTATTATTAAATATATTATTGAATTTTAATTTGTTAGTAATATTAAATTTTATATTTTAATAAATTGTTTTATTTATTAATTTTTTATTGTATATCTTTAAATGCATATTAAAAAGATGATTTCTTTTAATAATTCGGACAAAGTTAGGAAATTAATTTAAGTTGATTTGTTTGTTTAAGTTTTTAAAAATTAATTTTAAAGATTTTAAATACAATCAACCCATGTGAATGTTAGAAGTGTTGAGAGAAACATACCTTTTAAGACAAATTTAGAGAATCGTTGTCCCTTACAGTTAAAATAATGGATGTGTTAAGATATGGTGTCTGCAAAATAAAATATATACTCGGAGAGATAAAATTATACGGGTGTAAATTATATTTATTTTTATGTCATTAATAATTTAATTTAAACTTATTTTTTATTAATTTGAATTATACTTATATATTATTTAAATTATTAGTATTAAGTTTTGTTAAAATTAAATATTTATAATGTTTTCATTAAAAATCTTTATTTTTTATAAATTTTAAAAATATATTTCATTAATTTTAATATATATAAAATTTAAGTAGTAAATAATTTTAAATTAATCTTAAATTTTTCATATCTAACTTATATGATTAAAAATTTTAATCTAACAGTTAATTTTAAAATTAAATTAATAAGATATCATTTTATACTAAATTTGTGATAACTATGAACATATGACATTAGTATCCGGTGGTTTCATATCTGTAATAGATAGACTTTATGAGATTATGGTCCACGATGACATGTATTTTATTTTTTAAGTGTTTATTACTATATTCATACATTTATTATTTTTAAAGTAATTTTTAAAAAATATTTTTTATAATTATATTAATAAAAATACTATTACTGGTTAAACAGCATTTTAAAAAGACATGTCACTGTATACTCTTATTATTTGTGCAGAAAGGGTTGCATAATGCGACAATTAATACCTATGTCCCAGAAAATTATTTCACTGGATAACCTCTGCACCAGACAAGCAAATCCTAAGAGGAAAATATTTCAATCAATTTATAATATCTTTTAGCAGTATATAAATTTATTTTACTAACTTATAATATTTTAAATTATTAAATAACGTTTAAGCTCATAATTTATGGTTATATCTGAAAAAAGAATTAATAAATTAAATGAAAAGTAAATAATTATTCTTTTAGTAAAAATCACTTAAATTTAGCTAAAAGTTAAGTTCTTTTTTTTTACTTTTTAATAAATTATTGTTTGTTTTAATTATTATAAGCCGGTGAATTAAACTCTTCTGTTTAATTTATAAATTAGATAAATAAGTTATAAATTTATGAAAATAACTTACCAAACATACTGTATAAAATTGATTATTCGCAAAATTGAACACCAACTATAATTATAAAATAATCAATTTAATTATTCTAAAAACTCCATTCAACAGCTTTAGCCAATCTTGATTAAAAAAAAAGTTTACCTAACCTTTTTTTTATATATAATGAGGGAGGTGGAGGGTGAAATTAATCAAAATTAATCTCTCTCTCTCTCTCTCTCTCTCTCTCTTTTTTACGTTTAGGTTAATATTTTTTAAAGAAGACTTGTTTGGTAGCCGCAGCAGTTTCAACGCATGCGCATTGGCCACTTGATTAATTATTTATGACAATATTGTGTTTAAAATTAGACTACTTGTAAAGAGTCAAACATTACTTCGTAATTATTTGGTTAAATTATGGTTAAATATCGATCAGATAAGTTAAATAGTCAGCCCAATTTAAAATTTTAATAATTTTTTAATATGTATTTCGAGATGCATGATAAAATATAATATTAAATATTATTAATATATTAAATTCTGCAATATTTTATAATTTTATAATTAAAAAATTATTATTTATGATTTTTTATTATGCATCGTTATACATGTTAAAAACACGACAAAACTTTAAACCATTGAATAATCGCTATGATGGACGATTTAAGAAAGAGAATTTGTTAATCCTATAAAAAGTTTATATTTGTTAAGAAACTAGGTGTTATGAATTTTTTTTTTTCCCAACAAAGAGAAGGGAAGAAAACCACTGCTGGCATCGTGACAAAATGGGATAAGGACATAAGCAAACCTTAGCATTTGACGTAATCACGTTCACTTTGAAGCGTCACATAAATTGAAGGATATTAAATAACGTGGAAAATTAAAATAACTTTTAAGTTGAACGATGCAATCACTTTTAAAAAGGTTTCATCAGAGGTTTTGTGAAGCTTTGATCGTGATCGGACACAGAATTGACAACGTTAGGATTAAGTACTTATTTGTTTCACATTTCAAAATCAACTTTTAAAAGATAATTAATGGTTAAAATGAAAAATTTACACTTTACAGGACACGATGAGTTGTAGGAATTTTTGTTTTCAATTCTAAGTTCTAACGTAATAGATTTTATGTCCTACTCTAAATAAGTGTTGAAGTGGCAGGGATCACACTTATGATTGCCTAGGCATAGAAACTTTATACAAAGTCAGAGATTAACTCACAGAAAAGTTCAAGTTATTCGATGAAAACTTATTTATCAATAAAATATTTTTGTCATGCTCTAACAATTAATATATTGCAATTTATGAAAGAAGAGTATACACTATTTTCACAATCGTAGAGAAGCAGAAAATATAATAAAATATATGAAATTTTTAATGCAAAATTAAAATTATATACAACTATAATTTTTTGCTGTGCTCAGCCAATTATGAAGTGAGAATGTCCTCAGCAGTCCTAATTTTTTTATCCAAAATTATGTTTGGCTAAAGCTGGTAATTAACTCTTACCTTCAAGTCTTTATCTGGCAGTCTTAACTTAAGAGTTACAACTACCCTAATTATTTATCATCAACTTGGTTAAGAATCCACATCATTGCCAGTAAATTATATAAGCCATTAAATAGAACCACGTCATGTGAATGTTAGAATTAACTAGCAATAACCTCACCTTTGAGACTACTTTAATTAGCAACAAAGTATTTCACATTGGTCTTCTTTGTTTATTTGCAATATTCTGAATTTATTGTTTTAATTATTTTCTTAGTTATTAATAAAAATATTAATCGCACTTACGTTGTCACTGTGTACTAAACAATTTTTTTACGCATGACGAGTACTCATCACATAGTACGACATGCAGTACACGTGACGCAGAAAAATATTTCATGAGATAACATCTGCCATGCACCAAACAGGCAAATTGTAAGGAGAAATTAATTCTACTCTTACGATACAATACGACAAAATGATCATTTACTAAATATTAGATTAATCTCTATCAGTATGATTTTTTAACAAAAAATAACAGCTAGTATAAATATATAAATAACATAAAATATTATACTAATAAATAATGATAAAAAATATTAATATAATAAATTATTTAAAGTCTATATATAGGCAAACAAGGGAAGAGAAGTATTGGCTTGAAACGAAGAGCAAATCTAAATTAACCATGAACAAATCAAGCAAAACCCTGAAGAAATCTGAGTCAAAGGCAGAGCCGCATTCAACCAAAAAGTATGATACTAACGACGCTTGGGTGATAGAAATTTATAATGAGCTAGTTTTGCCTTCGGAGATTGAGCCTGAATCGCAAAATATTCATAAAGTTTGCATCCGCCAAGTCCCAGAATCCTTGAGTTCTAGCAAGCCAGAGGCTTTCGTGCCTACGTTTGTGGGTCTTGGTCCATACCATCATTTCCGTGCTGATCTCACCTTGAAAATGGATTTTAAGTTGGCTGCAGCCAAAAGGGTCCTCAAAGACCTTGTACCCAACAACCAAAAAGCATTCGAACAACTCATCGAAAACTATGTCTCCTTAAATATTAAAGCTTTGTACCACAAGGACGTGAAATCCGCATATAATGACCCTACTTTCTTCTACGTACTCACCGTTGATAGCTTGTTCTTGTTGGGTTTCATCAAGCATCTCAGCACTCCCAACAGCGATGGATTCCCCTACTTCTTACGTGGAACACTCGGTATGCCACTGTTTAACGTTGCTGGTGTAGAATTGACCAGGAATGCTCTTATCAGGGAAGTTTTCATGCTCGAGAACCAAATTCCCATTCACGTTCTTAAGCAGATCAATGAATTGAACAGCAACAGAGTTCAAACAGATAATCTTGGTTCAACCTTGAAAAAATTATGTATTGAGCACTGCCCACTTGTCGATATACTAGAGTGCAATACTCCAGAAACTTGTCATCATTTGTTGGATCTCATGTACAATTTGGTTGTTAATCCCGAACCTCCCTCCGAATCTGGGACAAATTCAGAGCAAGGTCAGCAACTGCCTCAGTCCGGGACTGACCCTCAGGCCGGGACTGACCCTCAGGCCGAGCCTGAGGTTCCCAAAAGCAAAATGATCAAAGACCTAAAAAAGATTTTTAGAAAGGCACACCCATGCTGCTACAGGTGCTGCTCCATATTCTTTCATATAATCATATTTCTATTATTCATATGTTTCTTTGTGGGATATATCATTCAGCGCGTTTGGAAAGGAGTTTCAATGGTGCTAGGTTATTTTTTTTCGATGGTTCGAAAAGTTTTGAGCTTTTTACTTAGTGTGATACAAACCTTGGGATATTGGTTACACCCTTGCTTTGCTACCACATATGAGACTTTGTCCGAATTGGAAGCTGAAAATAAATCCCTGGAATGTTATACAAGAACATTTAAACGGCTTGAGAAGGTGACACGTAAGGACGGCTCAACAGATTCAGAGGATGATGCTCGCCCAGTGGTTATCATCCCATCTGTGATGGAACTCCACAAAGCAGGGATCATATTCCAACCTGCGAAAGGAGGAATCTTAACCATGGATTTCGATGAGAAGAATGTGTTTTACTTGCCACGTATCAAACTAGATGTGAACTCAGAAGTGATCATCAGAAACCTGGTGGCTTACGAGTCGTTAACTCAATCCAAAAGACTGGTCTTCACAAGATACGTTGAAATAATGAAAGCTATTATAGACACTGCTGAGGATGTGAAGCTGCTCGTAGATGCGGACGTCATTAGGACGGAGTTAAAGAATCAAGTTGTGGCGGATCTTTTCAATGGCATGACCAAGTCTATTAGGAAGAATATGAAGACTCAAAAGTTGGATAGAGTGATTAAGAAAGTCAACGACGAGTTCGATATCAAATGGAAGCGAAACAAGGCCGTGACCAAGTACACCTCTGCCAAATTCATCTCAGCTATTGGGGGTCTTGTGCTTTTGGCTTTGACCGCCACACAAACCTACTGCTCCCTTCACCATTGCTCTGCTTCCTCTAAGTAATTTCGTTAACTGCATCCCTCGTCAACAGTACAAATAATGGTTCATATGTTTTCTGTAACACTATTTTTAGCCACTCAATTAATGTCAACACTTATTTAGTACCTCTCCACTCATGTCTCTTTATCTCTCTTCTTCTTTTAAGACAATATCAATTATATTTCTTTTTCTCTTTTGAATGTACACACTCCTCACTAGCTATTTTCCTTTTTGAAATGAAGTTTGCCGTGGCTTACGGGTTCAACGTAAGTTATCATTTATTCTAATAGCCAATGTATTTAATAGTATTTTTATTTCAATTTGTTATCTTTATTTAAGTTTTCATGCATGGAACTCATAGAAATGAAGTCAGTTATAGCTATTACTTATAAATATGAATAATGCTACAGATTTAAAAAAGGCGAAAAGAAAAAACTAGAACTAGGAAAAAATTTTGAAAAATTATGGTAGCTAGTAGGACGTGAAGAACACTCATGAATCCAAAAAAATAATTTAAAATGTCAATTTATATATTCTATAAAAAAATATTTGATTAAAAAAATTATTTTCCTAATTTCTATGTATTTATAATAAAATTTATGATTATTAATATTTAGAATACTTAAAATCATATATAATATATAATATTGATAGAATGAACATAAATCATCAGTGACATGAATAATTAAAATGGATATATTTTATACGATGTTAAAAACATGGTTTATATTACATTATTTCTCCATTATAAAAGAAATGTTTTTCACACACTTTCAAAATTTTAATTGCAAAATTTACTATAAAGAGGCGAGTACCCCACTAATGAGGTATTTAGTTTAATAATATAATTTTTTAAAGTTAAGTTATATATTATTTTTTTAATTTATATATATCAAAGGTTTTGTCTTAAACAACTTTGTTGCAATCTTTAAATTATCAGTAAATGTGTAAAAATTTAATTAACTTATAAAATAAAACTATATGATTGATTGGAAGGTAGGAATATATTTATGGATTGTTTTATGACAAGTTCTTTACTTGTTTTGATAATATAATTTTGAAGGAATTTTCCGCTTTTTACCTGTTATAGTTACTAGATTTATTTCTATATTAAAAATTGAATTATTTTCAAACACTTATCTAAATTTTGATCATTTATGATATTAATTAATTTTAAAGTTTGCCTAATTCTTAGCTTACAAGATTCTTTCGAAGATTGAGGAATATCTAAAATAGTTAAGTAAACTACTAATTTTATTTAATAATTCACTATTATTATTTCTTAAATCTTCTAAATATCTAGATTGTTTTCTAAGTTCTAAAATCTTTTGTTTTGCTTTCACACTAATTTTGAATGGTTTGAAAATAGGTTTTTCTAATTGACTGTAAGAGAAAGTTGATTCCCTTTCCTTTAGTTTTATTAAAACCTTTTTTTTTAATAATATTTTCTCTTAAGACTTGCAAATATTTATTAGTATAATTAGTCTGTTCCATAAGCCTTTTAATGTTTTTAGAAAATACTAATTCTTCTAAGATCTTCGTTTTGAATAACGTAGCCACAACTGGATTATTGTTTTCATCTTTTGTCTTGGGTAGTTGACATTGAGTAATAGGAGGTAATTCTGACTAAATTATCTCCCCATCTTTAATTTGTCAGGTAGTGATGACATTAGTAGATGAATCACCTATAATGTCAATTTGTCATAAATAATCAATATTATTTTTTTATAATATAAGAATGAAACCAATAAAAAGTAGAATATTATTTTCTATTTTCTAAAAATTTATAAATTTGTCTTAGATATTTTTTTCAATCTTTCCCTTATAATTTTTGAAAAATCATTCTCTACGAGGTTTCCATTCCTCAGAATAAAAGTCTTTCTTAAAGGTTTTCCTATCTATAATAAACTTATGAGACAATACCATAAGAAACATTAAGAGAGGAATAGGTTGGAGATTGGATACTCTGATTATCTTTTTCATTATCATTTTAATAAGTTGTCCTAGGAATACTGAATGACGTATCTAAACCCTGTAAGTTTATGTGAGAAGGGATATGAGATACAAATCTTGGTATCTTAGATTGGAAGGCTTGGGACCTTACTGATAATGACCTTCTTGCATATGCATACTCAGGTTGTCTTAAAGCTTCTATTCTGGAAGAGAAAGAGTTTCTCCTATTAAAAGTTATTTTAACTTTACCAGAATTATGTTGTGTGATATCTTGGATTAGAGGGGCAGGTCTGAGAATAGAAGATGTAGCCTTGTCCACAACCCATTTTTTTGGGAGAGTAACTTCGCGCCATTTAATTGTTCTTGGGAAAGAAACATTGACTCTTGTCATATATGTGATAAACAAGGTTATTTCTCCCTTTTGTGGTTTTAAAAGGATTCTAGAAGCACAAAGTTTATGACTTTGTACTAAATCCTATAGATTAGGGCACCCAAAATGGATTCTTCTTTCATGTCAAGACCATGAAAATGAATGCTTAAGAATAATGAGCCTAGCTTTTTCTATCCATTAAACTTTTAGTTTTATTTGAGTAACAATTAAAGTAGACTGGTTCTTGTCCAAGACTAGTCTCTACTATTCCTATTAAGGAGTTTTCAAACCTATTATGCCTGATATCTCTCGTACACATTAAGACTGTGACATCTATAACCATGTTTATTAAAGGTTTGACAACTACTTGTACACATCTTATGTGTAAATATTTCTCATATGCTTATTTATTGAATGTTTAAACAACAGATGAAATTCTTCCCCTGTATCATAACCTAGGGAAATATTGTTTTCTATAGTTTTGATTGTATAATAAGAACTATTTTTCTGTTTAATTTATTTTTCAGAAACATATAATTATCCTGAGGGATTTTGGAATAGTTCAGTCATCCATTCTTTAGGGTTATTTCAGGACTTTGTTTCTCCTATTCATTAAGTAGATTTATATTATGTTTGGAGTTGGCAGATGATGAACTAGAATTAGACCAAAGTCGTGAAAAGAACAAAGGAGACGAGACATGAATACATATACTTTGATTCATCACCATCACTTGGTTCTATAACAATAAACCTGTAGGATTACTTTATAACTATTTTTGTAGATTTGGATTATTTGTGAACTTCTTTTTTTTAGAAATACCTTTTACCATAACCACTAGCTATTATGTTTTTTATTTTTTTTAATAAAACATCGTCTAATTAGATTTATTATCCTTCACCAACGAGACTTACTGCTACAACTTTATTCAAAAGGAACATAGAACCACTGTACTTCTAGTAAAAATTTTCATTATAAAGTTAAATTTACTAGATTAAAACTACTATACATGTTTCTAGATCTAAAGGACTTGTCATAAGACAATTCACATATATATTCTTACTTCCCTAACAAGCTCTGATACCATATATATATATATATATATATATATATATATATATATATAAACAGGCCAATTATACCAATAAATACCTTCAGGTTTTAGGTGAGAAAATCTCTGTTAATCCTGTCAAACTGAAAATTGAAGAAACTACTTCTTCATCCTCCCAACCACAATTAGAAAAACCTCTATTTAAACCTTTTAAGATCAGCGCCAAAGCTAAGCAGAAAATCTTAGAACTCAGGCAAAAAGAGAAAACCAAAATAAATGAGGAAAACCAAAACGAGTTGCTTAGTAAAATTACTAGCCTCCTCACTACCATTCCTGACACTCCTCAGCCCTCTGAAGAATCTAGTGCTAAACCCAGGACTAGGTCTCTTGCCAAAACTATCAATGCCATCTCTAAGACTGATTCAGAACATTGTTCTGAAACAGACTCTGTCTTAGCCATTAATCCAATCAATAATTGGAAAAATTCTTCCAAGCTTTATTATAATAGAGCTACTGCTCCTGATCTTATTTTAGAAGAAAAACAAGATTTTATTCAAAGTTTTAATTCTAATGATATTTATATTTGGAATATCGATGGATTATCTGAATATAATATCATTGCCAAACTTCAAAATATGTCGGTTGTCGCTATGGGCTATTTTACTAACCAAAATATGCCTGAAGACACCATTGTCTATATTCTCGTTGCCGGTTTTACTGGCCAACTCAAAGGTTGGTGGGATAATTATCTCACTGAAGCTGACAGAGATAACATTCTCTCTGCAGTTAAAATTAATGATAAAGGGAAAACCATTGTCAGTGACAATGAGCATCTCCCTGATGCTGTGTATACGTTATTATACACAATATCCCAACATTTCCTAGGTGATCCTTCTCTTTGGAGAGAGAGATCTGGTGAGTTACTTTCAAATCTCAAATGTGATTCCTTAGAATATTTCAAGTGGTATAAAGATACCTTTATGTCTAGGGTCCTTACTAGGGAAGATTGCAACCAAGCCTATTGGAAAGAAAAATATCTTGATGGTCTTCCTAAAGCATTCGGAGATCTTATTAGAAGTAAACTCCGAAGTCGTTCTCCCACTGGAGAAATCAATTATGATAATTATGATTATGGTCAGCTTACTGCTATCATTATCCATAGCGGTATTAAAGCCTGCCAGAAAGATAAACTCCAAAAACAACTTGCTAAAGAAAAAGCTTTGAGCAAGAAAGAATTAGGTTCATTCTGCGAACAGTTTGGTCTTCCATCCTGCTCTCCCAAAAGGAAGAAACATGCCCCTAAGAAAGAGGCTGTAGAACCTTACAAAAAGCCCTATAAGCGCAGGTACAATAGAAAACCCAGTCCTAAGAAACAAGGGGATAATGTCATCCCCACCAATATTCCCAAAAAACCCAGAACAGGCGTAACATGTTACAATTGTGGTAAACCTGGCCATATTAGTAAGTATTGCAGGCTAAAGAAAAAGATTAGTAGCCTCAATCTGGAGCCTTCTTTAGAGGACCAAATCAACAATCTCCTGGCTAATACCTCTTATGAAGATTCTAATAAAGAATCTGAAGAAGAGGTCAACCAAATTCAAAATGATGACCAAGCTTCTTCTTCTGACAGTGATGAAACTCCAGAAATCAAT